ATGGGACAAATTTTCAGGAAAGCTACAGCAGAGTTTTGGAAAATGATTATCTAGCCACTGTTCATTCTTGGCAAAAACAAAGAAAGAAAAAAAAGACAAATTCCTTTCGAATGTATTTGAACCAGCAATCCCAAGATGAAATAAATACTGTACCCCTGTATTCTACAAACTGAGCTATCATGTAGCATTCATCACTAAAGAAAATCATGCTAAGAAATTTAATTAAACTCTACTTTGTTGTGCTGTAATTGTTGTGTTGTCAATAGCCTGATATCATTTTTAACAAGTTATGGCCTAGCCAGAGGGAGTTATGGTAGCTAGTTGTGGAAAAAATCCACTTATTCATTCAGTCACTCGGTCAATTGATGGGTCACAACCTTTTGTGGTAATTCTGTTGACCAGTGCACACAACATAAGAGGCGACTTTGCTCAACCATTGTGAACAAAATAGCTGCCAAAGCAACCACCGATCTTTCACATTTGGAGTCAAACAAATGCCCTAAAATTAAAGGCTATTTGGTATGCAACAAAGGTTGGTGTAAACATGATTGTAATTCAGCCCATCAATAGCTTTGACAGTTTTTAACCAAAGGGCCTTTGATTGTTCCTGAGTTTTTAATTCTTTTTTGATCTCCGTCTCTCTTTCACAAAATTTTCGTTCATCATGTGGTATTAAAAAGTTGAGAATAAAAACATTGGGAGGATCTTATCATGTAATAATTCACATAATTGTCTTTCCCAAGAATAGAACTCTGGATAGGCAGGAGACTAGCCATATAGATCAGTGCCCCTTATTTGTTTTAAACACATATATATGGACCAAAGTGAAAGTTTGTCATTTCTTTTGTCATTCTCCTTCTTATAAACCAAGCATCGAGAGAAGATGCGTGTGGCTGCTGTATCAAATTGTGAGAGGCTTGGCAAGTATCGCATGCCTTTTGCATGGACTGCAATTCACCTTGTTGACATCATAAGTGGAAAACAAGCAAGCACTGATACAGCAGCAACAGCAGCAGCAGCAACAGGCCCTTCACAGGAAAAAGAGACAACTCCAGCAGGAACTCCAGCTAGGAAGGTAATAAATCCAAATGTAGACAAGCTGCATCTATTAAGATGGATTCCACTCAAAGTTCATCGAGTAATAAGAGCAAGAAAAGATTTCCACAAAATATACTTAAAGCACAGTAACATTTTGAATACTATATGAAACATCTCACTTTAATTCATTTCTCAAAGTGCCCTGCAATTACATTTTCCAGCATTCTCTAGAAAGTTAATGTCAAACCTCATAAAATGCTAAAGCATGTGTTATTTTGTTCTAAACTGGCATGAAACATCCGTTTTGATTAGAATATGGATGACTTCAAACTGGATTTTCTCTAACAAGGTCAGCTTGAGAGCTAAAATCATGATAAGTTCTTCTTACATGTAGCTGTATTCAAAATGTTGCCATGCTATGAGGTTTTCTTGGTAACTTTATTTTGCAATATTTATTATTACTTGAATTGTCTGAAATGTGTAGTTAAAACAAAAATGATCTTAATCGTTGCTTTTCATATCTCACTTATTTTGCAGTCAAAGTACTTGTAGTTGATTTTTAAAACTGTGGAAAAGTAGGAGATGAAAAAGTGATATGTAAAGAAAGACATCACTGTTTTTTATTAATTTTTGGTACAAAGTTTAGTAATATTAGTAATTGGACTGATTGGAGTACAATTCAGAAAGTAACAGGGTAAGTACAGTTGCTATAGTACAAAAGTAATTAAATAAATGTAAAGGAAGTTGAATGAATTTTTTGATGAAATTCAGTGGATTTTGAGTTAAAAAAGTATGCAATCTCTGGAAGAAACAAACGTTCTGTAAACTCTAGATGTGTACCACATTGCACACATTTAAGCTACTCAAAAGTGCCTGCTACATGTAAATTTGGAAGTTTCAAGAGTTGTTTCTTTCAGAACTTATGGTGTCTTAGTTGCTAAAGATTACTTGAATGAAAGAAACTTCACTCTTTTCACACTGATCACTCATTAAGTTCTCAAAGTAGCCAATTGGTCTTTTTTCCACTAGCAATCTGGTATTGTAGAAACACCCCCTGTTGTGCCACGAAGTAGCAAGCGCAAGGACAGTGAAAGTGTTTCCAGCCGAAGTTCGCTAATTGAGGCACGCAAGTCAATTCATCTGTTAGATGGCAGTGAACTAGAAGTGGTCCCAGACTTGACGAACTTTAGACCTGTCACACTCACTGTCAGTAGTTTTTTCAAACAGGTATGACTAGAAACAACAGCACCTTGGCCAACTTTGATCTGCCTTTACTTGGTATAATTTTTTTTTCACTTTTTTTTCTGCTGATTATAATTATAGTAAATTATAAAATATTTGTTTAAAATTTTGTCCAGGAATCAGATAAATTGAAAGACGAAGATCTGTACAAATTCTTAGCTGACCTGAAAAGACCTTCTTCAGTATTAAAACGCCTTAAATGCATTCCAGGTAAGTATAATTCTCGTATTTTTTAGAGCTGTTAAAATTATGTTATTAATTGGTTCTTGGGTCAATTTGTTTTTTGCAGTAGTAAGATATCTAGAGCATAATAAATTATAGAGTATCCTACTTAAAACAACAACAACAACAAGAGAGACATTTTTAGAGCAAAAGTTTGAAAAATTTCTCTGTACTGAGAGTCCTTTAAGTTTCTTTCTCCAAAATTAATGTTTGTTAACTTTGTAATTAAAATTGTTTTTCTGTCCAATGGTGGGTGAGGCAACTTGCCCTTTTATATTAAAAGTCTAAGAAAGTATTACCTTGTCACACAGCTAAGAGCTTTTTGTCCCAGTTGTCACTAGTCATCACCAGACCTTGAGGGCTGCCAGAAAGGAAAATTAATTCTTATTCACAGTAAAATCATGAGTAATTATTTTTGTGGTTATTATTTTCTTAAGCCTGCCATTTTAACTATCTTGTAGGGACACTGAAGCTTGATATCTCTCCTCCGGGAGAAAAACCACCATACTGCCTAACATCTGAGTTGCATCAGGTATTGAACAAAATAAATTTATATCGCAAAAATGAATTTTAGTACTAAAAGGTACTCTTTTGAAGAAAAAAAGATACTGCTATTGCTGCTATGCTAATGCTGAAAGTTAAACTATGATTATGTGTTACTGTTATGACATAATTTGTTTCAATGAAAGGTTCTCCTCTCCAAGTCTTAGCTGATTACCATGGTTCTCTAAATACATATATTAAATAAATCAACTTTGAAGCAGTTGTGGACATGAAGTGATGTATTTGATTAAATGAATGGTTCATTCAGCAAGATCTGTCTGCCATCTCTTCTCTCCTCGAAAACAAATGTCACATTGTTCAGTGACAATTAGTCTTAAAATGCCATAATATTTTATTATTAAACACCTAGAACAGTCAATATAGCACCATAATACAGCTATACAATTCTTAACCAATCAGAATGTCAGATTCTTAAATCTGTGAACCTCTGTGAATTACTGTATACTAAAATGATATAATTTATTAATATACATACTGGTAGGGTTCATAATTGTACCAAACCCTACTAATAAGGTGATGAAATCCTTCCCTACTACCAGGTTCACCCATATCCAGATGGACAGGGCAGGCCAACCAAAGAGATTGAAGAGTTTGCTCCCCGAGAAGTGTTTACTCCATACCTTACATTCAAGTAGGAAGATAGTTATTTGCACCTTCATGGATATCTAGCTTTGTACCACAGAACTGACATTTTGCACACAACTTATAACACTTACAGAACACACAATACTGGTTTTAGCTGTTGTCAAATAAAGACAGATCCTAAATTATTATCTTAATTCAATTACCAAAAATTATTATAAGTACAGTGTAGTGCTCCAATCCATCTTTTACTAGTTAGATATTTTAAGCGTGTTTTCTAATTTGGACCATTCATGTGTATTTTACAGAAACCTTTTGTATGTGTACCCTTTGAGTGTCAATTATACCAGTAGAAGCACATCTGCCAGAAACATTGCCGTTAAAGTACAGTTCTTGGCAGGAGAAGACTTATCACCACTTGAAGTAAGAGACTTAAAGACTCTCTGTTGAACAGCTCGTATTGCGTGCCTCGGCTCGAATTTTGTACAATATGAAAACCTTCTTTTCGAAGAGTTTTGTAGTAGCTATTCTAATCTGTGATAATCTGAGCAATCTAACTTGATTTTCAACCCGATATCATTCTTCATCAACAATATCGCTCTTTTGGATTGGGTGATTATTTAAGGAGAACAATTGGTAGTAAATTGTCTGTTACATATTTAAGAAGGTAAACATTAGCTGGTATAGTGTGATTTGCAAAGAGTTAGACCATAGAGGCTCTTAGGAGAATCATCTGAGAAAATCTGTCCAGGATTGGTGGAGAAATAGTAGGGAAGATGTACTCGGATGCAAGAAAAAGTACTCCCATCTGCTGACAGGAGTGTCAGAGAATTGATTTTATTTTCCTTTGTACTGCTGTCATTGCCTGGTGCCATTGCTAGCGTTCAGAAAAGGCTATCACATCGCTAGTAGATTCATCCAATTTTAGGTTAGCTTCTGTGAGATTTCTTGACAAGCTCTTTCTCTGCTGCATTTTATTCCTGGAGAAGAAAACCCTTCTTGCAAAAAAAGCAAACTGGAAGCGTTTTAGTATCCGTACATGACTGGTTATCGATTCTAAAGCACAGTAACAATGAAATCACCAA